GCATAAAAATGCAAATGAAAGGAAACTCGAGGTGTTATATATAAAAAATAGTATATATTTCAAAATTTTAAAAATGCATAATATTCTTTGTTTCAATGCAAGTTCAATGCCGTATAGCATTTGGCATTTGGATTATCCGTCTTGAGTTACAGCCCGCCAAACTTGGGGCTGCAACGCAAGATCCAAAACATGTTATACACTATAACTCAAAAACCACTCGTCTGATAAGCCTGAAATTGTTACAGGAGGATTCAGAGCCCCTGATTACCCCTTAGACCAATTATCGTTAAAATCCGAGAGATGAGGGTGTCAAATTGGAAAAAAGTGGTACGATCTATCGTGGAATGCCCCAGTGGTGAAAGTGAAAGGTGCGAACACTCCAAGAGAGTAGGTAAAAATTACCTTTCAGAGCGCTAGCATCTGATCAACCACTATCAACAGAACTGTAGACTGTGACGGCTCAATGAACCTGCCTATGAACGACGCCTATGAAGTATGAACGCACCTGCAGCAGGTGATGTCGCCTCTCGGAGATGTTGTACTTGACCCAGGACATGACGGCGCTGTACACCTGCTCCTCATTCCGCACGTTCAGCTCGTCCGAGGAGATGATCTCCACCAGCTGGTTGACTGGTAACAGGAGAAACTCTTCGCTCTCCATCACCTTTGGAAGCACGGGGGCATCCAGACATATGAGAAAAATACGAAGCCGTTGGCTCCCCGTGGCTTTTATCGGTCGCATCGGCAGATATTTGGTCAAGTCGAATATGAAAACGCATGGAAGTTTTGCCCTAGGAAAATATACCTATTACGATTACTCCAACTCAGCCCGGGCACATGATGATAAGCTTGGGCATCTCGAATGCGCATATTGCATCAATAAAAGGCCCACATTAATGACAGACAGTACAAGAGTCCACAACAAAGCGTGAAAGTACATAGGTAAGTTAGGATATAACAGACTTCTAACGACCTGTGCCCGTACAGACGCACCTCCTGGAAGTTGTGCTGGGTGAACTTGTCGGCGATGCGGAGCAGTTCTCTGCAGGCGTGGGTGTCTGCGAACGCCCGGATTCCCAGGCAGTTGGTGGGGTCGAGCTGCCGCTTCAGAAACTCGCAGCACACCTCCTGGATCTCGGTGAGCTGCAGAAGGCACGCTGCAGGGAGAGAAAGGTTGGTTGTGTGATATTAAATCCTTTTTTTGCGACAGTGGCTCGATGGTTGGACAAGCGAGAAAAGATATTATGCTAAGAGCAAATTATGGTCTAAAAACTCAGCATAAAATAACTCAGCTGCTGTTAATATCTGATCGACTTAAGAATGCCAATGAAGTTACTAGTCAACACTCAACAGGCTATATGGGGTTTTAAACTGCTTAAGCTCCGTCAGGTAATTACGAGCACACACCGGTCACTACTTGAACCAAACTAGCACAGCACACACTAAGTTGACATCAGAGAGTCGCACAGCAAATGAGACAGCAAAAACAACAACAGCCGCGGTAGCAACCCAGCTGTCTTGAGCTAACCCAGCTGATGGTATAGGTACTGCAATCATAAAAACAGCCGCAAGCAAAAAGAGCCTGCCACTTGGCGGTAGCACCGCAAAATATCCACCACATACGCCAAAGCATAACACAAGCCAGCCCTACCGCCCAGTAAACACTCAAGTGAATATAAACCAGTCTACTTTCCACCATCCTGGTCTGTGATGTACCTAGATCTGAACCTCGGCCTCTGACCTAACAAGATCCACCCAGTCCGTCGGCGGTTGCACTGACCTGCCGGCAGCAGTGTCTGCACGTTCGACTCCTCGACGACGATGTGGGACGTGTAGCAGAAGTCTATGAGCAGCTCCATGGCCAGCTCGTCAATGTCGCGGATGGTGACCTCCGTCTGACGCGACTCGACCAGCTCGCCCGTGAACATGGCGTGGAAGTAGGGACTGCACGCCGACAGGATAACTCTGCGGAGAATACGGGTACTGTATGAGGGCAGAATCCCATCGCTTGTATCAAGAAACAAAAATACAAGGAAGTAAGTTACTAGCAACTCATGAAGCACGTTTTTCACAATACAATTTACATGGACTGACATCTCGACCGGCTCCGACGTCCTTACCTGTGAGCGAATATTTTCCGGCTGCCGACGAAAAGGACAACATCGCAGAGCTCGCGGTGTTTCCTGAGCAGCGCCAGGTCCTTGAGTGTGGAGCGGGGGTGTTTCTCGGAGGTGAAGGGCAGGCGCGCCGGCGAGGGCGGCCGCTCGGCCTCCGACAGCTCCGTCAGGTTCATAGCGCCGCGGATCATCGGCTCATCTCAGGGGGCGGCGGCAGGCGAGAGACGGCCACCGGCGGGCGGCGGGTACCGGCCGGCCCCACTGTTCCGTCACTTCAGGTGTGACCAGGGATGGAGACAGTGGTCACAGGTCCTAGTAGGTGGGCTGCGGGTGCAAAAAGGAAGAGTGCCAAATGCATTAATATACTGCATGTTAATAATGTAACCATAGCAATATCTTTTGATGTTGTCATTTGCCTAAAGTTGTAATGGAATGAAATATGGGTAATGGGTATGATAATGGAAATTGAAACATTTTAAACATAGGGTTCAACAACTGACCCAAAACATGGTTAGCTGAGTCTGTCATTTTCAAGGTTTTTGCAAAGTATTGGCAGCTTAGTAGCAGGAGCAGCTTTTTAACTACAACAGCAAATTGCAATTGTTAGCGTGATAAAAATACTTGTTGGCATGGCAGAAACTTGGTAAGAACTGCATAGGTACTGCAGCCAAGAGGCCATGGCAGAAACTTGGTAAGAACTGCATAAGTACCAATTGTGCAGTGTGCAGTTGCACACACACAAAAAAAAAATGCTATGAAAAAGATTCTCCAAGCCCAGAAATGACTTATTTTACAAAACAGAAAGATCTAAATGCTGCATAATACCTAAAAGCTCTTCAATTATTCAGCAGCTGCTGCAAGTCAAGCCCACTTAATGATGCTATGCCATTTTAAGCTTATCACATTGAGCTCAGGGTCATTTGTAGTTTTCATTCTTGGAACTCTAAGTTTCCAAAAATGAAACTTACACGAAGTTGTCATCAGGGCATCATGTTCGCCATTTGCCTACCACTCATTTCCTAGATTGCAGTAATTTTTGGAAAAAAAATCAAGAAAAAAAAACACAAGTCACAATATTACATTAGGTAAATATGATTTACATGATAAATCCAAAAATATCCATGATTTTAGATGAGTTTTGATTTATGGAACCTGAGTTTTCATAAATGGAACACACTCCCTTTAATTTTTGGAAACGTTTCCATAAATAGAAACGTACCACCTATCATTTATCAATAAATGGGCCAGATACCATATTGTGCAAGACTGGCAACTTGTACTGGCCGCAGAGCCAGAATGAACTGAAGGGATTGTGTAGCCTTCTACCTGCAATAATTTTAACATTCCATCAAATTATCATGGTCAAAACGGGCGCAGGGTAAGGTCGAGTGGTGAGTATGTGAAATTATTCACAATCCGCGAAATTATTCACAATCCGCTTTGCAGAATGTGGGCCAGAAGCTACCCATTCATCCATTGAAAGTTAACTGTATTCATGTGTATGAAAGTGACAATGGAATTATTTTGATGATAATAACTAAGAGAAAAACTCTGACAAAAGTTGTTTGCGTAACAGGAAAACAACTTTGCAAATGCAAACTCAAGATAAGAAACAAGCCCTGGCCATTGTGCCTAACCTTGGCAGGACTGCTAAAAAACGGTACTGTATGAATCTTAACGAGCAGATCAGATGAAGCAGATTGAGATGAATGCGCTTCTCAATTTACCATAAACCAAAAAAAGTTTAAGTTAAGCACAAAATGTATTCTACTCGTTCAAAATGTGTTCCACAAAAACACAGAGAGAACACAACGCACATAACGGCGCGTCTTGGAACTATCTACGTTTATGGCGCACCACAGACAAATCCTGCTGGTAAAGTTTTAACTTTATATTACATTGACTCATGAAGGTTTAACTTCACTGGTTGAAAAACAAGGAAATTATTTGCATTGTTTCACTTTTGAGCCGGCCAGCTAATATTACTGTGGCCAAGGGCACCCAAAGCTCTTCTATTCCTTCTGCTCATCCTCATTCTACACTTGGGCCAAACATCTTATTTACACAGCGTTGGATGTTCCGGTCAAACACTTGGCACCTGATCGGTGACCCGCCTTGATTGATCACTCATTAGGAACAGGAGTTCGTTGTCACCGTTTTGTCCTCCCTGTTACAGCTCGCCCTGGCACCGGCTTCGCTCGCCTATATCGCGACAGTATTGCCACCGAGCTGTGGTCATAGGCTAACCCGTCGGTCTTCGTGAGAAAATAGCGAGCCACTTTGCACTTTGTGACTCGTAACTCGTACGCTATAAAGTAACAGGCTGGCATAGGAAACTGTCCCTCTCAATCGTGCGTGTACTTCCGGCTGACACTGTTGACTTAACGTATCAGCCAGATGCCCGAGTTGGTATGCTACTATACTCAAACGCAGCGAAAATCTATTCAGTTCACGAAAGCACCGTGTAAACCTGTTCAAAACGAAGTTTTTATGTTCGGTACCCGCCGCTTTCAAAAGTGGCCTCAGGAATCATTTGTTTCCTCTTGTCTTTATATCATAAACCGAAGACGATAGGCGAATAAGAAAATCGAATGACAGCGAATCCTATCGGACTATCGGACTACCTGTGGTGTTCGCCTTTTCCATTGTTGCGGTTGCATTGCCACATCAACTGGTCATGTGAATACGCGAAATGGCCCTCCTCTCAGTCTCATCCACTTTGAATACATGTGGCCATCTCGGACAATCCGCGTTGGCTTCATCGCCTCCCTCGACACGCTGTTTTTTTTTTGTGTGTAACGTCTAGCCTCCCGTGTCTTCCTCCGTTCAGAACTAAAGCGACATCGGCTGATAAACGTGATGCAAACATTCCATACAAATTCATCATTTTGTGATTTTTATTGGTTTTATCAAAATGGCAGTACTTGTGCAAATAATATCTAACAATCATACACATAAAACATAAACAAACACATGTATGTCGACGATCCTTATCCTAGTGCGCGCGGGTCACTGTCGCATGGCAGTTCAGTTAGCGGGACCGCAGCCCGCCTCACTCACACGACGCGAGCAGTGGTGCGACCCGCCCCTCCCTCCCTCCCTCCCTCCCCAATGTAAATGGAGTGTGATGTGTTCTGCAGCCGCACCTCCTCCCTCCTCCTGTGTTCTGCAGCCGCACCTCCTCCCTCCTCCTCCTCTCAGAGTCCGCTCTCACTTGAGGCAGAGCGGGCCCACCTCGAAGCCGAACGCCTGACTGGGCAGGCCGTAGTCGGCCGGCAGGAAGTCCAGGATCGGCAACTGACTCAGCTGCCGGGTGCGCAGCTCCAGAACCATCCGGCCCGGGCCGCGCTTCTCCTGGGAAAGCGGTTCAAAGAGTGAACAGACTGGTTATTTCAGTAATGCCCTTTTTACTACGGTAAATGGTGAAATTATTGGAGCGTTGCGAATTATTATTCAAGTGATATTTGCTGCCTACCAAAATACTATGATATCCGTTATTCATGAGTCAATAAATTCTAACCCATTATAATTCATGCTTAGCAGTTGTATTGGAACCTAACCGTGACCCATGTCGTAAAACCAAGGCAACATAAACTAGCCCATGACACTAAAAGTCGACGGGTAACCTTCGAATCATCCCCATCGCCTCCATACCTTGCACTCATCCTCTGCTATTTTGATTTTCCGCAGATTTTCCGAGTGGCTGAATATGCTGCTTCCTGAGCCCAAAATCTGGATGCTGTTATCGTAATTCAGTGTGGTTGAGTCGTACCTGAAAACAACGTACGTTCACACATTAAATAGACCATTTCATCGCTGTTCTCATATACTGATAAAAAATTATTCCGTAACAAGCTTAGAACGTGTTATCATCCGTGTGGACCGAACGCCGTAGCATTCTACCGATGCTGCAGTGTGCATCAAGCTTTATTCTGCAGATTTTCCATGCATTATTCATTTCTTCCGGACAGAGCGGTTGTCATGGAGATAGGGCACTCACCAGGCGGCCGAGTTGATGCAGGTGTAGGTGAAGTTCTGACGTCCCGTGTCGGACAGGAGGCGCAGGAACGTCATCTGAACCGTACCAATCGACTCGTACGTGATCTGAAACGGGACATGGCCGGGTTAGGGAAGGTCCAGCAGGAATTATTACAGTGTTACATGTCGAGTAGGTACGCTTCGCATTAGACTAAAACAGGACAACACTTTCAATGACTGTATAATCTTCGAATGGGAAGCAAAAAATAGAGCAACGCATTAGCTGTTATACTCGTTGGATGCATAAATCGGTTTAACAATTATTACAACGAAATATTCAAAACCGACAACTATACTCATCTAACTCTGCCATGGTTGCATTGCCTAGCACCATTGGCTTCTCAGGAGCGTCCGCTAACCTTGAAGCCGCCGCGCAGCGTGGAGAACCAGCTGGCGCGCTCTGTGGTCTTCCTCCAAGGGATGTTCGGCATCTTGCTGGCGTGCGCGTCCGGGTAGATGCACGTCTCGCCTCCCGCAGAGGTCATGTTGCAGAAGACATAGATGGCGTCGTCGGGCATGCCCAGGTTGGGGTCGATCCAGTACCAGTCTGAGGATGGTACGCGGAGGGTCGGGGGACGCGGTGAACGTTATGTTATGTGTTCATGCATAAGAGGTTCGTGTTAAACAGCCGTTTATCCTTAGGACCCCATAGGTAAATATCTTTTGACGACTCCCGAACTTACAGGCTTGCGGTCAAGCCCTTAGTGTTGTGCGGTACAGCATACCCTCCAGCATAGACCACTAGTGTCATCTATCGACAGGCAGCGGCAATAGCTCTCGCCTCGGCTACCGAGATATAAACCGTATAAACGGCATTTCCCAACATCTTTCGTCGCCAGGGTATTAAAAACGCAGTTTATGCTTCACCATTAGCCCCACCCATTTACCAGAATGCAAAAAAAAATTATCTTATCGTTTCTCGAAAGATACAGATATTGAGCAGCATTGACATGAGCCAGACATGAGCCGGCACCGTACCGCTCTTGTAGTTCGGGTGTCCGAAGTACAGGTCCCGACAGGTGCGGATCGGGTTGTCGCGGCTGCCGATTGGCTTCTCGATGCGCTGGATGTCCTGGCGCATCGAGTAGATGCTGCTGTACATGCTGAGCAGCTTGTTGGAGAACTCGCTGCCCATGTCCAGCTTGTCCGGGCTGTTAAAAGTCGGGGAAACATCAGGCTGAGAGAGCAGACTCGCTCACAGAGCTGTAACACAGCCGAAATAGCACAGCACACGGCGTAACACAGCTTGTCACGAGAATAAGAGATTCAAATAGAAAGATTGAGCAAAGCCCTTGAGTAAATATAGCATGCCTATTGCCTATGCCTACATCATACAGACGAATCACGATATTTTAGCCAATTCATGGGGAAAACGCCAAACTCATGCATGAATGTCGCGAACAATGGCACCAATCGAGCCATGAATTACCTTTAAACCTGAACTCCCATTGTCATCCTGATTTTATCACACTGGCTTACATTTCTCGTTTGCGTCGCTCCTCGGGTCCTTTGAAGTTGCTCGGTCCCTGGTAGAACAGCTCGGCCGGTACGATGGGCTGCTCGCCGGGCGGGCCCGGGGGGCCGGGCGGGCCGGGCGTGCCCTGTCGGCCCTTCATCCCCGCCACGCCCTGGAGGCCCTTACTGCCCTGCGGCCCCTCCACCCCTGGCAGACCCTGCGGCCCCAGCAGGCCCTTGTCGCCGTCGTCGCCACGAGGTCCCTGAGAACAACATCAGACATGGGTGGGTGAGCTGTGTGGCATAAGTACAGGCTAAAGTGGAAATTGCAGAGGAGTGAAGGCATCAACGATCTTGCTCATCAAGGTTCCCTGCAGTTACCGATGCGAATAAATGAATGCATTAAAATGTATCATAGCATAAAATAACCACGATGCACTGAACAAAAAACTCATCATCAATGCAATTTGGACCACGTTTCAACAATATTTCATGCCTGCCCACACTTCGTTCCACTGACCATATCTCCCTTGAGGCCGGGCAGTCCGGGCGGGCCGACCATGCCGGGCTCTCCCTTTTCTCCCTGATCTCCCTCGTTGCCGGGCAGGCCGACGTCGCCACGGTGTCCCTTCTGGCCACGCTGACCGCGCCGGCCTCTGCGGCCCACCGGGCCCGTCTCTCCCTTCAGCCCAGGCGGGCCCGGCTCGCCAGGGGTGCCCGGCGCACCGCTCTCACCCTGCGGGAGATGGGCACGGGCGGCCGGTCAGAGCTAACAGGCAACAGTCAGGGTGGACAAGAACGGTCAAGGGGAAAACAAGAGCCGCGCCGAAAATCACTAAGTTTTATTTTACAATGGCGCTTTGCTTTCTAGCCTTCTAACTTACAAATGAATATGACAAAATAAAAGCAGGTTCAGTAACGAAAGGTAAGGTACACGTTTAACAGCTTGGTTATTTTATACAGTCACGACACGACTAAGAACATCTAAAATCTACACCCATCATTGTACATTGCTTGGTGCGAAGCATTAACCAAGTTCCTTTTCATCCGAATATCACGTACGACCGCTGTCGCCTCGTCTTCGGGTACTCACGGCGGCTCCCGGTGATCCGCGCAGTCCGTACGTTCCCTGCGGTCCGGGCATGCCGGCCGGTCCGACAGGACCCTGCCGGCCGATCTGACCCTGCATGCCCTTATCACCCTTATCGCCGGGGGTGCCCTGACTGCCGACCGGACCGGCTGGCCCCTCCGGACTCTGGCGGAGAGAAACGGCACGGTCACTGGAGAGAATCATAAAAGCAGGTAGCTGTACATTGTACAACCCAGAGTACCCAATCTACAAAACTCAATACCCATAAAACAATAAAAACAAAGGCAAATGACATACAACTAAGTAACCATGCCCGAATCAAATCATGAATGCAAAATGTACGGACAAGTGAACTGTAACTTGAAATTGAAGCTCGGATGTTTGCTCATGGCTCTCAGAACTGCGGTTGCTGTGTCACTCACCGGCTGTCCGACGGCTCCTGGTATGCCCTGTTCGCCCTGTGGCCCCGGCTCGCCAGGCGGCCCCGGTGCGCCGGCCTTGCCGTCCTCTCCGAGCGCTCCGGCTTCTCCTTTGACGCCCTGTTCCGATCGAAAGACACGCGGCCATGTTAGATACTGGCGACAGAACTAAGCAGCATTACATTAGCCGTACCTACTATTATTACTACTACTATTATTACTATTTTAACAAAGTTCTGACGCACAAATTGTACCGATACAACAGTTCTAACATTACGAGAAGCGAGAGGATAAAATGATGCTTGATGACTGCGTAAAATGAATTAAACATTCGATATTACAATCCCACAAATGTCTCCTAAAAACTATGAGGCTTCCCCAGCATCGCACGATGATCACACGATCCCACGTAATGACACGGCGTCCAGTAAGCTCACCATGAGGCCGGGCTCGCCGGGCGGTCCGGGGAAGCCCTCGTTGCCGGGGCTGCCCTTGGGGCCGACGGGTCCGGGCGGGCCGCGGCTGCCCACGGCCCCCGGCGCTCCACGGTTACCCTGCTCGCCCTTCTGACCGGGCGGGCCCATGTCGCCGTTCCGGCCAGCCAGACCGACCGGTCCAGGCGGGCCATCGCTGCCCGGGGCACCCTTCATGCCCTGCTGGCCCTCGGGTCCCGGCGGACCGGGCAGACCCTCGCGGCCCGGCGCGCCGGCCTTGCCCTTTTCACCGGGCAGACCGGCACGACCGGCAGGTCCTGGGAAAGGGCGGGACACGGTTAGATAGGCGAGCCACACCAAGATGGGCAGCAACTAAAACAAACATGAACCCTACCTCTGAGTAAATTCAAACTCATACGGCAATTTGTAATCGCACCACTACCAGAAAACTTGCACACACAGAGTACACAGAGTACTGCCAGAGTACTGCTAGAGTACTGCCAAACAGAGTACACAGAGTACTGCCAAACACACCAAAACGCCAGACCGGCGTCACGTACTGACCTTTTCGTCCGACGTCGCCCTTGTCTCCCGGCTCGCCGGGCGCTCCGGGCAGGCCCGGTTTGCCCGAGGCGCCGGGAATGCCCTGTTTGCCCTGCGGTCCCATCTCGCCCTTCCGGCCGTGGCGGCCCATGTCTCCGGCCAGGCCCTGTTCACCGGGCGGGCCAGGGGGACCGGGCTCGCCGCGAGCGCCGTGGGGGCCAGGCGCGCCGGCCAGGCCCTGGGGAGGGGGACATCGTCACATTCTGAGGCTGAGAACAGTCTAAATAAAAGACGATCACGGTAGTCTATAATCATTACCAGAAATCATTGTATTCCATTTCAGTCGTTTCACTCAACACTGCCGTCAGTCCGTAGTCTCTTACCGGCTCTCCGCGGGGTCCCTGGTGACCCTTCTCTCCAGGTGAGCCAACCTCTCCCTTTTCTCCGTCCTCTCCCTGGGCGCCCTGAGGCCCCGTGGGACCCTGAAGGCCCCTGAGGCCGGTCGGGCCGTCCCGTCCAGTGGGACCTGTCAGGCCCGGCGGACCCTAGAAACAAAGGTACAAATATCAGCCGCTGGCTATGACACGAGCCGGATTCATTGAATTTTACAAATTAACTCCATCGCACAGCAAATATAGTAAATACATACACATATTCGTAACTAGCTCAGCACAAAGATCTAACCCAACTCGGCCAAACGTGGCTGACGTTAAGAAATCGTATACAATATCCACCAACACTGACATCCACATTTCACAATGCTGCGTGACAAAAATACACCAAGAGGCCCAAGAGCACTTGGAAAATTTCTCACCCACAACACCAGTGCTTACCTGATCTCCCTTGGTTCCGGCCGGTCCCTGGTTGCCGGTCTCGCCTCTCGGTCCCGGCGGTCCGGGAGGGCCCAGGTCACCGGGGATGCCCGTCTTACCCTTTTCGCCCTGCACTCCCTGGACACCGGCCGGCCCCCGGTCGCCCTTCATACCTTGCAGACCCTGTGGAAAGATAGGATCACGGATCAAGTGGCGGACCTGGTACCAGATGCTCATAATGGGAGGTGATGCAACAAATACCCATTTTGTTCATACTAAGGAAGTCCGATCGTCCAAGTGAGGACGTATTTTCGAAATCTTAGGTTTCTCTTCCTGCTTTAGATATGCCGAGAATCTATGGCCGAGACAATAAAAAATTACCGTCCATTTAACCATATTCAATAGTAGGCTGTGAGGTGTGATACAATAACAGTCTATGGATGAAGGTAAACACCGTTCCGCGGCTGTGTACCACTGCCGGGCCCAGACCTCGCTGTCAGCGCACATACCGTGAGTCCGGGCAGGCCGCGCTCGCCCGGGTAGCCGGGCAGGCCCGGTGAGCCGGTGGGGCCCGGTTTGCCCGCCGATCCCTGCGGGCCGGGCGGGCCCTCCTTCCCGGCGGCGCCGACAGCACCGTTCTCGCCGGGCAGGCCGGGCAGGCCGGGGGCGCCGGGCTCCCCAGCGGCGCCCGGCTCGCCGGTGGGGCCCGGCGGGCCGACCACGCCTGCTGAGCCCTCCGGTCCCGGCGGACCCGGCTCACCCTGGGAGCGGCAGACAGGGACGTCAGACAGAGCGAAAACGGTACGGAAACGGTGGTTAAATGCACCATTGATGAAGAATGGTTAAATACGCCATCTTATCATCAGCACGGCATATATGTATCTCTACAAATTAGAAACAAAACAACTAAAAATTGAATAGTGACAGACTACATCACCCACAGTTCCCCGTGCCTCTGACCTGCTGTCCGCGACCGCCGGGCGGGCCGGCCACGCCGTCCTTTCCGTGGTCTCCTCGCCGGCCGATCTGACCGGCGAATCCCCGCGGGCCCTCCTTCCCAGGAGCACCGCGTTCGCCCTGCGGCCCGGCCGGCCCCGGTCGGCCAGTGTCTCCCTTGGTACCGACCGGACCCTGCGAGCCGGTCTTACCGCGCGAGCCGCGGAAACCCTGCAGGTGGTGGGGAGGGGGCGGTTAGACAGGGTATTTGTGAGCAAATCATAAATGTTAACGACATAGTCATAAATCATAATCATACATAGTCATAGACTCGAACATAAAAAGAAAACACACCAAACAGATGAATCTATGTAAAACCAAATACAACGAAAACACTGCAAAAAAAAAGATTATAAAGAAAACATTAAAAGAGCAACTAAAATTAACTAAGATCAGATGAGCTAAGACAAAAACACTGAATACTAACACCCACCACACACCATGCCGTTTTCCCCGCAGGCAGTGACTCACCCTAGGTCCCCGTTCCCCGCGCTCGCCGGGCAGGCCGTCCGGACCCCGCTCGCCCTTGTCGCCCAGTCGGCCCGGCTGGCCACGCACGCCCTTGTTGCCTTTCCTGCCGGTCAGACCGGGGAAGCCTGGGAAGCCGACCGGGCCCCGTTTGCCCTTGTGGCCCGTCGGACCGATGGCGCCCACTTCTCCGCGCGGGCCCTCGAAACCCTGTGGAGAGCACAGGTGAGTCAATTGAAAGATGACGGTGACAGTTAGGTATAGCTTAAGCAAGCACGGAGTGTGAAGAACGATCGGCTCGGCAGATGAGTACATCGTATAGACTGTAAGAGAACGTAAGCTTATATATAAAGTTAAAAAAAGACAAATGAGCCATAGTTCTGACCAACTAGCCTATACAGCGTAGTTGGATAAAAACATCTTTTATAGAAAAAATCAGCAATTTGTTATTCTTCTCCACACTAAAATATAGCACTGTTTGCACGTCATGTGTTCCTCACCTTGGCGCCCTGCGGCCCCTCCAGTCCGACGACTCCCTGCGGGCCGGGCTCTCCCCGCTCTCCCTTGACGCCCATGTCTCCCTTCTCCCCCTCCAGGCCGGCGTCTCCCTTCTCTCCCTTGTCTCCGACCGTGCCGCGCTTGCCGTGATCTCCCTTACTGCCGCGAGGGCCCGGGAAACCGATCGTGCCCTGGAAACAGAACACAGGTTATGCATATCCCGCTTTCCTGAAGTCGGCTGGATGTTTAAGTCAAGCACATGTGCAACAGTCATCACTGAAAACAAAGTCGTAGCTTTCGTCAACACGGCACAGACCGCAAGAAGAGCGTGCCTTGCGGTACAGCCTAACTTCAGGCATTGACCATGGGCGCCATCTTTTGAGTAGAATGTTAGTTATGTAAGAATGTATGCATTCGCAAGCAAACCAGGTGCAAAAAAAAAAAAACGATCAGCGTGGACACAACATACGCCTCCGCCAAAAACATAAAACTAAGTTCTCTTTTCGGGCAATGGGGGAGGGGGGGGGGGGGCAGCGCCAGCTGCCAACTCACCTGGGGTCCTGCCACTCCTCGCTCTCCCTTCTGGCCGGGAGCGCCGGGGGTGCCGGGCCGGCCGGGGCTGCCCTCGGCGCCCGGCAGGCCGGGCAGACCCTGCTTGCCCTCCGGGCCCTGGCGGAGCAGAAGTCAGGCCGTCAGACATGGAGCGATAAAACCACAGTTCACTGGTGCACGGAAACCACATGGCTATGCTAAGCAGAACACAGCTTCGCATTTCATTTTAGCACATTATGGCAACTCAGAGTTCAAAAAGACAAGACCTTCCATTACTCTAAGGAAACAATGCTGCAAAAACATCGAAAGCCCGGGCTCTCTTTCTCTTTTCCTCCCCCAACGTCTCTAGCTCTACTGCATTGGGTACCTCGTCCCCGTTTACCAAGCAATCTCACCGTGGGTCCAGTGGGTCCGACGGCGCCCACAGGCCCGGTGGCTCCGGGGGCTCCGGGCGGCCCCACCAGTCCCGGCGGGCCCGCCTGACCCGGAGCGCCCACGCTGCCTTTGAGGCCGGGCGGGCCCTCGGAGCCGGGGATGCCCGGGCTGCCGGGCAGGCCGCCAAAGCCGCGAGGGCCGGGGAAGCCGCGCGGACCCATCTCTCCAGGGATGCCCGGCGGCCCGTGGATGCCCGGCTCGCCGCGGGAGCCGTCCATACCGGGAGAGCCGCGGTCTCCGCGCTTACCGCGCCGGCCACGGTGGCCCTTCTCGCCGGACAGACCTGCCGGGCACCAGTCAAGTCATATGATAGGGAATACGGTGAATGATGGGAAATAAGCCTGATTTTGCAACTTTCCGTCATCTGCGGTAATTCGAAAGGCGGAGAAGTGAATGGACTCACTGGAGACGATGAATAAGTCACAACCAACTTTTAAAATATTCTTCCAAAGATCGGCTCAGAAAGAAGGTAAATAAGCAATCAGAAGACTAAGCTGAGAGTGGCGGGATGGCAGGTTGTGTCTTTCCGAAAATGTAAAAAAACTTTCGAAGAAGACCTGCAAATTCAGAAATGAGTAAATGGCAAACAAGATCAAGGAACACAAATCCAACGTTACTCGCCAGGACAGTAAATATTTACCAGGCAGTCCGCGGAGTCCCTGGTCGCCCTTCTCTCCAGGGGGACCAGACAGACCACGTTCTCCGTCCTTCCCCGGCTGGCCCCTCCTGCCGGACCGGCCGGGCAGACCCTCCGGGCCGCGACGGCCCCGCATGCCCTAAGAGAAACATAAAGGGGAGTCTGGGTTAGCTATATCAATCTCATTCTCACCACGAAATTAACAGCCGTGAGCAAAGAACGAAGGACTTCACAAGCCGCATGCAGTGGTTTGAATAGATTTGCACATGGATTGGAAAGATCCATTCACATCGGCCTCAGGGCTCCTCGATGACAAACTGGGTCTAAACCTCAAAGCTTACCGTAAATGTCAACCCGTCATCCCTCTATCGATCAAGCAGAGCACGAAAACGGTCCCCTCCCCCCCCCCCCCCCCTCCTAGGTTCGGCCGATCATCTATTACCTCTTTCCCGACTATCCCTCACCAACTGCTCACACAACCATCCCTAGTTGGTTTGCACAACGCGTTCTCTCTGCCATCTATCAATGGTTCACCTGGCCAGCTCTCACCGGTTCGTCACTTCATTTCTTACCGGCTCTCCCTGTTCGCCAGCCTCGCCCTTGACCCCGTCCGGGCCGGGCGGACCCTGGGGCCCCGGTCCGCCGGTGAGGCCCTGAGGCCCCTGCGCTCCCTGCATCGCCTGCATGTGCTGGTCCAACATCAGTCGCATGGAGCTGGCCATGTTGTCCGGGCCCTTGGGTCCGCCCACGTGCTGATTAATCTGGAACCGAGACAGACCGGTTGGTCAGATCGCTTGAATGACGATGTGCGAAAACAACAATATGATTGCGCTACAAAGAATGAAAGAAATGTAAATTAAGATATATCAATCCACATATTCCATACGAAAAGCGAGGCAGATCTCGACCTATTCGGTCTCCAAAATATCAAAACGCAAATTGTCCCATATGATAGAGGTACGCCTGAGCAAATGATCTTGAAGCCTTCCCTCGCTCTAGGGGTTAACATATTTCGTCTGATTATATGAATCAACCACAGCCTGCTCGCCCGCACTGACCGGTATCATGAAGACGCTGCCGGGCGGTCCCTGTGGTCCGTCCAGACCGGGCGGTCCGTCCAGACCGTGGTCCCCGGGCGGTCCCATGGGTCCGGGCGGACCGGGCGCGCCGCGCGGTCCCTGGTACGTCGCCGGGTAGTGGCCCTCGTACTCCCTCTCATCCTCCTCCTCTTGCTCCTCACTGCTGTCCTCCTCTCTCTCCGGGGACTCGGGGCGGGCCGTGGGTGCCGCCTCTGGTGGCAGGGGTCCCTCTAGCTCCGGACCAGACTCCGGCGACAGGCCAAACCCGCCGTCAGGGACCGGGGTGGGCAGAGGCGCCTCTGTCGGCGGCGGGAACTTCGGCGGCGGGTCGTCGTAGTCTGGCGGCGGCTCCGCGGCATCCGGTGTCCTGTCCTCGTAGTCGGCAGTTGGGACGCTGTAGTCGGGGTCTGGCACGGGGACAGGCTCCGGTGGCGGTGTCTCCCCGACGGCCGGGGTCGGAGGCAGCTCCGGGGAGGGACGGTCTGTATCGTAGTCGAACGGAGGCGGTCCGCCCCCGTCCGGCTGAGCAGGGTCGAAGTCGTCCGGCGGGATATCACTGCCTCTCTGTGGAAACACCGGCACCGGGCGTCAGACGGGACAATAGCCAGGCTTCGGACATCGAACAGATACAGGCAGTTACGATCACAGCACGTCCGGACATTTAAAATCCACTTGAGACTACATGAGAAGCGCTCTAACAAAGCAGCTCTTCATACCGAAATAACACATCCCAAAACAGCCTAGTGCTTGGCTCATTAATTTGACGATAAATCACCATCCGAAGAACCCAATACTAACCGAATCATAATCGTAGATATCTTCAGGTCCGTAGTCCTCTCCGTAGGTGTACTCATAGCCGTCATAATCTTCGTCGCCGTAGTCGGGCTCCTGCGCCTGCGGTTTCTCTTTGAGCGGCAGCGGGGTGTCACAGTTGGGCGACCACTTAGAGCACTGGTCGTACGCGGCCGATGGTGACGGCACGAGAACCAAGTCCTGGATGTCGCCCTGTGGGAAGGAAGAACGGTGTTATAAGGTGTGCGGACCCACAGGAAAGTACGGAAGTTAGGAGGGTCCGTGATTTCTCTCGTGGATAAAGAGTAATAGATGCACAAAACATGTATTTAATAAAGAAACAGTAACAGTGTAAAAACGACCACAAACCTAGTTCCGATGCATTGTTGTAAATAATTAGCACTTAGGTAGACCTTCACGCTGTGTAACATTCCAGGCGCGTTTCCTCCTCCGTCAGCCATCTTACCTTGAACACGTGACTGGCCAGCAGGTCCTGGCCGACGATGGTTACTCCGCGCCGGCTGATCCGGGACTTTTCGTCCCGCTCCAGCGCCTGTGTGGACTGCTGGGAGCAGTCGACGAACAGCGACGCAGAGTTGCCCTTCACGGCTATCGAGAGACGGTGCCATCTGTCGGTCGAAACACGAGTTACTGACTCAGGCGGCGTCTATAGTGGGATTTGCACACACAATGCAGTATGCACATTACACAATTCACGTTTGTGTGTTGTATACAAATGTGTCCAAAATGACGAGTCAAACGGAATATATTCAAACATGTAGATATCTTTCGCAAATGGAAAATGAGTGGAAGGCGGAGTTAACAAGAGAACGGCTCGAGCGGCATTTATCGCTATCCCGCTACATACAAAGTTGGTCACGGTGCTGCTTACTTTCCGTCGTTGATTTTGACGGGGAATGTAACGGTTTGTATCTTGGGTCCCTTCTTTGTCCGGCTGGCGACAATTTTCAGCTCTATCGTATCACCGACGGTGACTATCAGCTGGTCCTGTAAGGTAAGGAACAACAAATCACAGACGTCAGCAATCAGGAATAGGTATTTTTCACCAAAAGCAGTCATTTGAAAGATAAACGTTAAAATAGCAAAAATAGCAGCATGTGTAATTTGTATGAACCTATGCAAATTGTAACCAGAGTGGGACAAAATGTTGAGAACGAGCACGACACTTATCCCCTTCCAAACACATGGATGCCTAAACAGACGCATTTTCATCCACGAATGCCTTGTCGACTTTGTTCCGTCGGCACTCGCCTCTCCATTGTCGTTGTAGACAGCCAGCAGTGCGCCTGTCGTACCGGACTCTGGCCGAACAGTCGCTAGTAGAGAAAAGTCCAGCGGAAACTTGCCTGCGAAAACCACAGGGATAAGTTATGTTGCCAAAACACAAATAATCGTGTACCTATGTTAAAAGACAAAACAATGATAACAACCAAAAGCTAATATGTTTATTGCCATTTCTACTTCACAACTCGAAACAAAACTATAAACGAATGAAGAACATGTAAAAAAAAAAAAACATCACAGGTCACACAGATCCTGCTCCTTCCAGAATCGGTAACCACATCCAGCAGCAAACGTTCAGCTTTTTTTTTGTTGTTGGATTAGGCCCTTTCGGTCGACAAGACCATTGCAGAGCCGGAAGGATGATAGGAATTAGGGGGAGACATTGGTCTAGGCAGGCACCCTAGTGAGTCGCCGGGGCTGAGCCCGTCCAGAGGACAGACCACCCAGCCCCAAGGCACTCACTGCACCCGGCTACGGGGTGCGCTCCCTCGGGAGCAGCGGTGCCGCTCCAAGGGAGCAGCCCGCATGAGATAAAGTTGCCTGCCCAGCCCGGAAGGGGGTTGTGGCGTGGAGGAGAAGGATTTCAGTATCCTGAGGATAGAAGCACGGACAGGTGAACCGTTCAGCGTTGTGAAACTGTCTTCGGTCGGACCTACCGAGTACTTTGTTGGTGGGTACGCTGGGCACGGTGGCGGCCGGCAGGGTGACTGCCGAGTCTGGCGCCGTGCCGCCGTCCCTGTGGGGTCGCCGATCGCACCGACCCACCGTCCGCCGTACGGCTACCTGGCCCGAACTGAGACCGGATGACCGTAGCAGGTCCGCCGGCCGGCCGCCGCCTGCGGTCACAGGACGGGACAGGTCAGCACACAGGTCAGATACAGGTCAGATAAAGGTCAGCACACAGATCAGATACAGGCCAGACCGGTCGACCACAAAAGGTCCGTGGCCGGCCGCGGCCTCCGGTTAGAGGACGGTACAAGTCAATACAAGCTAGACACAAATTAGACAGGTTAGACATGGGTCAGGCACACGTCAGAACGGCCACCATCTCCAGTCACAGGTCAGACAAATGTCGGTGTTAAGCCTGGCACAGGGCAAACTAGATGTGACCGGCCATCCCAATGTCACAGGTCAGACCATTATTCGTTGTCAAGTTCTCGCCCTGTTCCGCCACTACGGAGGCTTGCTATGCTAAGCCCCACAGGCCATCTGGAGACTCGATCCCGCCTCCGTCAGCCCCATCATGGCGGTCCGCTCGTCGGAATCCGGCGAGTAAACACGTCTGAGAGCGGGCCGCCGCTGCACCGGCTCATCGACTCGCCAGCCGGGTGTGTGTGCGTGTCTGTGCACATGTGCATGTCCGGGTCCGTTACGGTAGAAATGCCGAGCGGGGGGCACGGTGGACGGTGGGGCTCGCAAGTCGCAGCCATAGCAGCTGCCAACTAGGGTTGCTTTCCTTCCCGTGCGTTATTTTGACAGAGTGTGCAGTTGCACTGTGCATGAGCTGTGCACCTGCTCCGAGAGCGTGACTGCTAACAGCGACGTTACATTTTGTCATGTATATGTTGCAGGCACTTTAGAAAATCAGTCATTTTGTAAAATGCCTAGGCATTTTACAAAAAGACGGCTGTTTGAAAAATGACTGAACGCAACCAGGCTTTTTTCAAAATGGCTAGCCATTTTACAAAATGACTAGGCATTTTGCAAAATGCCTGACCAGCATGGAACGTAGATCCCACTACAGATACTATGGCCAACAGTTTTTGGACGTCTTCCTATACCCTATAGGTACGTGTTCAGCCTGTAGCTGATCGATCTGAAGCTCTGTGATGACGACAATGCTGTGTAACGACCAGGTTGAGTTGCAGACTCGGCTGTAGCATAAAACATTGTTTAGTTAACGCTGTAAAAACTCCCAAGTACATCAACGCCGTTCATGTTCTGCCTGAAACTAGACTGACTGACTGTAGGTTGATAAAAAGTCTACTATTTCTGTCCGTTCCTGGTTCGTTATGAATTGATGGTTTTTGCCAGCACTTGAGTCTATGATCTCCGCCACCTTGCGGTCGAATTCTGGACGCGACATAACGGTCCACGAGGCACTCGCGACACGCACGGACGCTCACTCACAGCCCACGGATCAACAAAGAAGCCCAGTGTGGACCACCCCTCCCCTCCTCAGTTGACTGGACAGCGCTCATTGGCTCTAAGGAACTTCAACAAGTCTACCCTAGGCCTAGTCCACGCAATTGTTTACAGTATTATTGTTTAGGTTTTCTTCCTAACTTTTTTTTTGAATAAAAAAGCTCTCTGATCACAATGAATATTAAAGCAATAATTAACAAAACACGATTAATTTTGTTCTGTGGCAACAGCTTTGAGTACCTACTTGCATGGTCCCAGTTAAAAATATCAAGCTCCACATCGGGAGAATCATCAGGTCGCTTGGCGTAGGACGAGCGCGTTGGTTTCAGAAGACACTAACGCCTAAGTGTGTGGGATCGAATCCTCGCGACCTCTAATAGTCTTACAGATACAGGCCGGCATTGGGCCAGTCGTTTGTTGACGCTCCAGATCGATCATTTTAAATCCAGCAGCGTCGCTGACGTCGGGGTTGGAAATGTCGCGGGCCTGCACTTCTCAAAATAGAGGTAGGTATGGACTTCCCACTGCTGGACTCCTCTGGTCATAATGCTGGACTCCTCGGTCCACCTACACGCTACCAAAACGTATATAATTAGGTACTCGTATCTACAACACGCTGCTCAGTCATTTTGTAAAATGGCTAGGTATTTTGTAAAATGCCTAGGCATTTTGCAAAATGACTGGAGAGTCAGTCATTTTGTAAAATGCCTAGGCTTTTTGCAAAAAGCCTGGAAAATCAGGCATTTTGCAAAATGCCTAGGCATTTTACAAAAGGACTGATTTTCTAAAGTGCCTGCAACATATATATCCACAGCTATAGATCAGGAATAACGTTGCAAACAACCATCCACAGGACAAAAGTGGCCCGTCCTGCCGCTCCCTTATACCCTGTCCATGCTAACGGCCTAGTGCGGGCCCAGCCGCGGCAGTCAAAACCCAGCGCGTGTTTGGCCAGGCGATGCTACTCGCCGTTTGTTTAGATAAAGCCGACCGGCCTAACTGCCCCGCCGGATCAGAGCCTCGGCTCTTCTTTCATTGCTGAGAATGAGGAGTAAAAAATAACCCGAAATGCCACTGTCGTGGAGTGACTGTACTCGTATCTTTAGGTACCCCAGCCCCAAGTAAGCTTTAGCTATACCTCCGTGGACCTCGTGGCTCGTGCACAAGAGTTAACTTAGAATCCGCCCAGAAAAAATTCGCCCACCTCAAACGCCCGAACGTTTCACACCCAGCCAGCAACCTTCGAGGTCTAGTCTACCGTCTGTATGGTAAATTGGACGTTAGACGTTCATCTAGATCTGATTTAATTTGCCAATGCATCAGAATCATATGCCTCTGTATACCGGTGTATAGAGGTCATGATCAAATTCAAATATTCACTAAAAAAAAATCCATTGTTTCAGCCCCGATAACTCTCCACACTACTGAGAGCGAAGATGGGCGAGTGTCCACTGCACCGCACGGCAGGTAGGCATTGCGGCACAGCCTAACCGCCAGTGAAACGGCCAGCCGGCGCGGCTGTACCACGGTCGGCGGCCAAACGAGCCTCAGCTCTGCAGCCGGCCTTTCGTCTGTTGTAGATCCTTTGAGAATTGAGTGTTTCACACATAACTAGCTATATCTAAGCCCCCCCCCCCCAAGCCCCAATACCAACCTCGCTGCCTAGGCACTCCAATTCCACCCCCACCAACGTCCGACCTCAATACTGTTTTACGAATGCTGATGATACCGACGATGGTCTTTTTTCTGCAATTTCTTCTTTTTAAAAGGCACGGGAGAAATGTTGCAGAAAGTACACGAAAACTCTTTACAGACAATTTGGTAAGAAATATGGAAATATTGATCAGGTCAATGTCGGTCAAATATTGGTCATTTATTGGTCAACTCAGTATACTACATGGAAGTGGAACCGTCTCAGTTGTTTTCCCAGAGGGCCGGATCGGGAATTTTTTAGCCACCGTAATTGGAGGAGAGGAAGGGGTATTGCGCCTCCGGGAAGGCTTTCCGTCACTGGTTCTGCACCCGGAGACGGAGCCGGAGCCGGAGCCAGCCTGCTCTGGACGGAGCGACAGGGTGGGCGGGGAGAGGGGATAGAGGGGGAGAGGAGCAGCCGGAGAGCTCGTCAGCGGTTCCCGCGCCGCCGGCCGGCAGCAGCGCGGCATTGCAGCGGCTCGGTCGACAGCTGAGACAAGCCATGTGTCCGGGACGCCGCGCCGGCCGGAATCTGGGTCTGCTAGTGTAAACAGCCGGGATGGACCGTGCCGGCCCCGCGGCGGCTCTGGTGGGGCTGACCGGCCGTCCGGGCGGAGAGCCGGGACAGGGAGATCGCCATACACTCAGAGTGGAGGACGGTCTTCTAACGGGTAACGGTCCCTGCCATATGGAGAAGGAAAAAATAGAAAACAGGAGATCGAGCAGACAGCAATGGCAACATGCTTTGTTTTGATGATTATTCAGACCGGCTTCGGGCCACAATAAGCAAATGAGAAGGAAATGTGCAGTTCAATTTTTTTTTACTCATTGAACGGTCTTCTCATGAGACAATGAGGCGCATATATGAGTACATTCTTGGGACAGACGGCAGTTTAGGCTCTTGGCAGCTGGCAACTGTGCGCTCGTAAAAAGGACATTCCACTAGGTTGAAGCCTCGGTGTAAGCACTACGGCCCGGTTCAACGCACTGGCGTGTCTGTATAAACATCGGAGCCGCGTTAGCGGCAGCTCGATCAGGCAGACATCCCCAGAATCAAATATGAAGCAGGTCCCATGGGCATACGGCATTCAACGCGGAAACGTCTTGCATGATAACTCAGACTGCTATAAAACTGCTTGAGTTTGAACTCCTGAGGCTCACTAGCCTTGGGCTGGAATAAAATCCCAAGAATCGAGACCAAATTTTCAAAAGTTTACCAAAAGTTTTTAAATTTACCAAAAGTTTTCAATCTGGACAAAGTAACCAACAGATACTGCCGTCTGTGAGCATAAAATGTTGCCAGCATGCGTTAGAGGAAGCTCCCGCCGAATACGGCTTTAGCACTATCGTAAAGCACACAAAACAGTTATTCATTTGATTCGAAATCCTGCTGCCTCCTGTTGAGCTAGCACGGTCCCGTTTGACTCGTGACGTCAGTGTTTATATACCCAACAGCATCCGATTCCGGTTCGTGTTTAGATCACCAGTCGTAGTCCCGGAGCACTGGGAGAGATGCCGGATATGCCAGAGCAACGAAAAATATACCACGAAAGCAGCGTGGTATGTGATACGAAACGGCACCTTTTTTGCTCCACAAAAAACTACGCTCAGCCATAATTTTGCCAAGAGAATGACTCTTAGATGAACGTCCCACAGATGCAACAGGGTGGGTGATTATTTTTCATAGTTTATTCATTCATAAGTTAACAAAGTTCAAAAAAGGAAAGACGATGAACTAACTTGGACTTAGGCTCGACACGTTTATTTTGCAGCCGTTCTGTAAATAAATAGACCCACAGAACCTCTTTATTACGATGTTTATCTAACCCAGATGCAGCCAAAGTGCAAAGAAAAGTATCCATACCAGGGAAAGACAGAACGAACTGTCGTGCCCACACAAAAATAGGACTTGAAGCATGAAAGCATGGTTTAACTTTCTAGACAAATGCTCAACAGCAGCGCAATGCGCTGACGGAGCTGAGGCATGAGCTGCGGTATGGCTTGTAGGAGCTTGATCAACATTCAATGCAAATTTCTATGACTACGGGCATTTTATGATAACTTTTCAGCACAACAGAGGACAAACATCTTAGTTCTGCTGAGCAGTAGATCGATCTCAAGACGCAAAGTACCATGACGCAAATGCGTACGCAATGCAGGGAAGGGGAATGCTTAGGCGAATGATAAAGCCAAAGCGAAAACCAAACCGAAAGCCAAAGCAAAGAGTAACGGGTAAACTAACGGGTAACGAGCGAAGAGACGGACTTCTTCGGTTAAATGGGGCCAGCCTCATCAGGAAGAATGGATGGACACTGGACAGTGGATACGTGGGCCAAGGCACAAACATACATGGACGAGAGAAATGAGTTTCACAGACAAATAATACACTTGTACTAACGGTCAAAGCAATGATCTGCACCGGCGAACTGAAACGGAGGAAACACAGGGGCCAGCCTATACAGACGAGACACAAGATACACCCGAGGTCAGATCTTTTGAGCTACACGTCCGAGGGCAGGAGCTACACAGTACACACTAGGAGATAGAACAGGAACCAAACCCCCTAGGGCAGTATCGCCGCGCCCATGGGCCGGTGCCGGGGCGGACTCACCTGACTGGGCCTGGCCGGTGGTGCAGGAGGCGGCGACGAGCAGCAGCAGTGGCAGCAGCCGCCGGCGCCGCAGCTGGCCGTCGCCCATGGCGGCTGGCGGCCGCAGCGCGGACGGGCGGCGGACGGGGGAGCGGGCCGCCGCTGACTGCCGCCCCCGCCCGCCGCCACTGAGGCGGCGCCGCTCAGACACGGCGCCACACCGGGCCGCCTACAGCCGCCCGCGCCGCGCCGCCAACAGCCGCGCACTGCCGCGGAGCGAGCGGCGGCGGCGGCGGCGCAACGAGCTGACGGAGCTGCGGTATGAGCTGACGGAGCTGCGGTATGGCGTCCAGGAGCTGCGGTATGGTGCTGCAGGAGCTGCAGGCTCCCACCGAGCTGAGGGAGCTGCAGTATGGTGCTCCCGGAGGTGCGCCAGCTCTTGCAGGAGTTGCGGCATGGCCTGCCGAAACGGTGGTACACGCATGGTGTTAGGATTCAGGCGGTTAGGATAGGCTGACGTCACACACAACAGGTAGCATTCACGATGTGATGTCAGACTTTTACTGAGGTATAACGTATAATATAGCATATCACGTAAATCAAGGCTTTAAGGACCTGGTGCCACCTTCATACTCCCTCGAGGGTAGTCCCCTTCCTATCTGTGACTCACACGGTGACCTTGGTGTCCTGGTGGACACAAGGCTTAGATTTCACGAACGCATCGGATCTGTTGCACACAAAGCGTCTGGTTTATGTTACAGTTTTCTTAAGTCAACTGTCTGCCGCTCATCTGATTTCATGTTGTTCCTCTTTAAAACTCACATAAGACCACTGATAGAGTATGCTTCAAGCGTGTGGAACACTGGTTACAAGGGCGATATGGTTAAACTGGAACGTGTGCTAAGGATGTGGTCTAGACATATAGATGATTTGCAGAATCTGAATTATGAGGAGCGTCTGCGAAAACTCGATATGTATTCAGTCGCAGGAAGGCTTCTGCGCGCAGACTTAATCCAATATTGAAAAATATTTAATGGTAAAAGTCATATAAAACCTGAGACGTTTTTCTCTCGTCAATTACACGGCTGCACTCGAGGCCATTGTTACAAGATACGCGTGCCACATGTTACACTAGATGTTCGTCGTCGCTCTTTCTCCATCCGGTGTATACATATCTGGAACGGCCTCCCAGAAAACGTTGTGACCGCACCTGACTTAACTAGCTTTAAGAGGGCCTTGGCCGATGCGATTCGTGACGAACTGTACCAGCCTGCGGAGTAGTTGATGATGAGCAACTTCGTGTCAAATATTCTTGATTTACATGTATTTTTTCGTATGAGCTATTTATGTGGATGCTATAACTCCAGTTGCTATGTAACCCGTCTATACTCGCGAATTCTTATCTCAACTGGCGCATCCTTTGATCCTGGGTTCCCTTGCCTTGACTATCCTTAGGGCTGTCAGGCTTGGTGAACCCTACCAGGTGAGAATACCAGGTGAGGTTTTTACGAATGCTCATTCTAAGTTAAACGCCTAGAGATGCTCATGCATTGATGCTCATACATGTTTTACGCAGTGATGTAAGTGATATAATCGTTCAGTAGTTCACAGATAAGAACTTCGATATGTCTACAACAACATTGATTTTAAGATCTCCCCTAGTTCAGCCTACCCCAGGGCTGACACTGTGTGCGACACCTACCGGTGGAGGGACGAACGTTGACTTCATCAACGCCACGTGGGTACTACTTTGTCGGCGGAGAAGAGGCACTCCCCGACATACAAGCGCAACAGGGATGTTTTCCAATTACCATTTACGAATTATTCAACAGCTGCTCTTTTGATCCAACGACGCGACCATTCTACAACGGGTGGTAAAGTTGAACGCGAGAATTACAATAGTGAAAAGACAGAGGCATAAAGCATATTTACAACAATGTATTTTCGACTATTATAAAATGGTGATGAAAAACAATTATGATGACGATGCTTCCTACTTTCTTGTAAGTTAGTATGAATCAGAAAAGAAGAGACTGGTACAGCAGTCAAAACAGACACAATGGCTATCACATCTACGCTTTACGAACAGAACATTCAAGACCTATCATCACGGGTTCGCTTTCAAGAGCGTCTACAGGCAACAAACATTCCCATCCACAATAAACCCTGATTATTATCAGCCATCGCACATCACATCTCCTATCTCGGCCTAATACCCCTCCTCCTCATCACTACCGTCTCCGGAGTCCGCCAGGTATCCTCCGTCCCCGTCACTGTCACTGTCCTCACCATTAATCTGCCGCAGCACGCGAGCCTTGTACTTATCGTACGGGTCTTTATCCCCTCCCTCTTCCAGTTCATCCAGTCCATAGGCGAGAGGTTCATCATCATCATCATCTCCAGCGATCTCGTGTGCCTCCATGCGTCTGATGAGGTCGAACTCTGCACCATCCACGGGGTTCATGTAGCGTTCGTAGTCAGAGTCTCCCAGCTCCTCTGGGTAGTCATTACGCCAGTTATCCTCGTCGTTGGAGTCATCGTCGTCGTCGGCGAAAGGGTCGTCGCTGTCGCTGTGCCGCGCCGCGCGGTGGTCCCAGAGTTGGACGTCGTCGCAGGGGCGCAGTTCCAGCAGATCGTCGTCGGCGGATAGTGGGGCGCTGCTGACGTAGAGGTCGTACACGTAGGTGGTGGAGGTCGGATCCGGCACTGCCACCCGCTCCATGACCTGGCCGTTACAGGTCAGCTGCTCCTCTGGGCCAGAGGGAGGTTTGGAGGAGGCCGCGGAGGCCGCCGGCGCCTCCTCCTCCACGTCAATAACGCCAGGGAGACTAGCGAGGTCCGAGTCAGCGTCGGCCGATTCACCGTCGGGCTCCCCGCGGCGGCGCGCTACGATACGGTAGCGCCGCGCCTTCTGTTCGTCCTGGAGTCGGGCTCGGCGCGCTTCCTTGGCGCGCTCCACGGCGGCGGGAACCGACATCGGGTCACGCCGCGCCGCGCCAGATTTCCGCTGGGCGCGCACAGCGCTCAGCGCCGCGTCCGGTAACGTGGTGTCCTCCGGTTTCATAGTGCCGACGAACTGGAGGACGGCACTGAGCGGCGTGTCGGCGCTGGAGGAGGCGGCGGCCTCGTCCCCCGAGTGGAGCCGGCGCCGTTTGGTGGCCAGCAGTGCCTGCTGCGGGTCATCGCCCACCTTCCGCTTGATCCGGATCACAGACGTCATGACGATGGAAGTGTGAGAGCTGGTGGGCAATGGAGAATAAAGATCAGCTCTGGAGGCCGGAGCAGCTGTGGAGAAACAAGAAAGAAGTCGGTGGATACAACGGTTGAGCTTGTAGTATAAGTTTATCAGTACCACAAGTAAGTAGGTAGAAGGTAGGTTAGCAGCTAGATCAGATGAATACTTAAGCTAAAAAAATCATTTTGTTTCAATTCTGGGCCAATTCAGCTAGCTAACCTTGTTAATTCATGCAAAATTCTCCAGTACTGCTACAGCTGCTAACCCATATTAGCAGGATGATTCAGAGGAACATAATCAAAAGAAGTGGAAGATGCACACTGGTTCTGTTTGCTATTTTTAGATGCATCCTGACAAGAGGTCCACACTGCAGACCACATTACTGCCACTACCTGGGAGCTGCAAATTTCAACAAATACCTTACTTCACTGATTACTGAACCTGTTTGCCATTTCTACAAAATAAGTGTCAGAATTACCATTATTACCTAAACCACTACAATGAATTTGACCACAAGCCCAATAGAACCGAAATGTGAATACTGAATGGGATCAAAACATGTTCAATGTTCATCCTCCCCAAAGGTCAGACATGCCTTTGAAGAAATTTGTTAAAGATTATCAATATTTTGTCTAAGCCCTGCAACGAATTATACACAGGGTCCAGGGATGAGGTATGCCAGTGAAATACATATCAGTGGCCTTTACCATCCATCCATCCATCCATTGATCTGTTAAGGCACACTTTTTGCAGGTCACAGCCCCTCACACAGGCCAATCCAGTGGGATATTAATTATCAACTATCAATGGAATTAGGAGATCCCAAGTGCCTGCTCTGCAGCATTCAAAATTTGCTGCAGTTTAATAACAAAGTTTGCTTCAAAAATTAAATGTGCAGCAATAAGAGCAATAGTTTGAGAAACCTTTAGCCCTACAAGATGGGATGGGCAGTATCATCATGCCATGTGCCCCATACCTACTGTGTTAAATGAGAGCCAACCAATTTTCTTGATCTGTAATAACCACTGAACTCAGTCATTTCCTCTTTTATGCCCCCTCTAAAAACTGGCCAAATTGGCAAAAAAAAAGAACATGAAAGGAAAGGACACATCCTTCTAAGCTTAAAAAGTGAGACCACACATAATACTTATACTTATAAAAAAATTATAAGTCACACCAAACCACCCATTAATTCAGGTTAGGACAGGTTACGTCAGGTAAGATTAGGTCTGGTTATCTTAGATTTTGTTATTTTCGCTCGTAGAATGTAGTTGTACATGCTTTTTTAAGAGTAAATGTCTGTTTGCACAATTTTCTGGGTTAAATATATGATTTTGACAATATGACATGGTTTCAATCTTATCATTTCTCAGCCTACTGAGTACTGACTGTCTGGGGTGCAAGAGGAGTTCACCCAGACTTTTCCTGGTAAGTTAACAGGACCTTTTTGCTACATTAAAATAAAGTGCCAATATTAATAAATAGCCAGGCAAGTTACCTAGGTAACATTTTCAACGTTTAACTAAGACCGTTACAATGGTTACGTGGTCAATATGGTCACAAAGAACATGACAAATGGACAAATCTTTTAATTAAAATACTTTCACTTTATGAAAGAAAGCACACCAATAATTACAGGCATCATGTAAATTGGAATTGTTAAATAATGAGCAACTAAATTCGAGCTTAAAATCAAAATCAAAATCTGACAACGCATGACTGACAACCATTCTTTCTGTAAACCACAGTTATCAATAAAGTTGGTCGTCAAAACTCAAAAGACAAATCATGATATCAACATGCTGAAAATAAAAATAGAACGCTAAACACACCTCAATTTCTAAATTCAAACACAAAATGGACAAAAAGGCACGCAGAATTCACACACCCGCGCGGCAACGCAATGCACATTCAAAGTATGGCGCAAAGTCTCAGATGCGCCATAAATGCATGCAGATATACGATTATTTTGCTGCAAGAAAATGACAGGGGTACAAAATGTACTGCTGGCGCCAACATCCACTTCACAGTTCAGCACTAAAGTGACTCAAATGGCCAGCAAGTATGAAGTAGCAAGTAAGTGCCTCGAACTTGATGGACGAAATCAAAGCCGTCATAATCTATTACGATAACAGTCATGCAATGCCGCGGCAAAAAGGATTAGATTAGAACTTAGAAACAGGGTTCCGAGGCCGACGTTTTTAAAAGATTACAACTCGATGTCGGTTTTGAGGGACTTCAGCCAAATACTGGTGTGAGAGGCCCTTATACTGGTCTGAAAGACCGCAGGGATTCGAGCCCAAAGACCCCCACAGGATCTCCATTCTGCAGCTCTGATCCCGAGTTCGATCCGTCCTCGACCAGCTGTCCAGTGACGTACCCAAGGGGGGGGGGGCACGGGGGCCATGGCCCCCTCCTGAGCGCCGAAGGCGCTCAGGGGGCCCCTCAGACCCCGGTTTATTTTTTTTTCAAACACTGGATAAAACGTCTTTTACTAGGAAGAAAAAAAAAATGATATCAAAGTTTCATTTATGTGCCCCTGGTTACCCGAGGGGCCCCTGATGACCTGATGGGCCCCTGCAGTCATCCGAGGGCCCCCGGTTTCCTCGGCCCCTGGTCGCCTAGGGGCCCCCTGTAGCCGGGGCCTGGTCGCATGGGGGCTCTGATTGCCTAGGGGGCCCTGGTAGCCGGGGGGCCTGGTCGCATGGGCCCCTGTCGCCAAGGGGGCCCCTGGTAGCGGGGGCCTGGTCGCATGGGGGCCCTTGGTTGCCTGGGACCCCTGAGGGCCCCTGGTTGCCTGGGGCCCCTGTTCGCCTGGGGGCCCCCGGGTGACCTAAGGGCCCCTTCGGAAGCAGGTGGCCCCCTCCTGGGCGAAATCCTGGGTACGTGCCTGCAGCTGTCTCGAATCCTCAGGATCGTAATCAGCATGCGCCATCCTACCTAACGAGACTGGTCGAAAACTTGCTAGAATGCTTGAAATAGCCAGTTTTCAGCCAATAACCATGGAAGCCAGTAAATGTTGACTTAGAATTTGGAGCCCGTATACGACTTTGGCAATACCCATACAATGCATTTTTTACCGCGGTACCGAGCGTACATACCTTTGTAGCCTATGTAGGTATATGCCAGTATAGTGTAGGTCTGGGCATGCGTTGCATTACCTGCGGTTGCAGGGCAGTCAACAATCATTCGTGGCTAGTGCTGCCCCACCCCCTGAGAGCAGATTGCCAGTGCGAGTGGTATGGTAGGTACTACGCAGGGACTCCAATTCCATCCAGGACTCTAAGGTCACCGTCTAAAATGTAAAAACCCTATGCATGATGCCACTCTGTCGAATTCGATGCTCGATAGCATTATGCACTTAGAAGGTGAGAGTATGTCACATAGTGTTTTGTACCTTAGCTTTTTGAGGTATAAGCGCTACCGTGCTTATGTCAAAACCTATCTGCTTAGCATTTAACCAGGCGCGCACACATAATTTTTGAATGGAAGGGACTCGACCTGCAAACGGAGCCCCACATGCCGAAGGGCCCCAGGCCCCAGCCGAAAAAAAAGTTGCCTTACATGGAGTCATATGGGCCTGCTGGGCCCAAAATGGGCCCTCCTGATCTTTAAATTTCAACCATGAGTTCAGCTCATTTTTAGACGGTTTTCGGCGGTCTAAGGGTTAGAGGACCATTTGAGGACCATTTGAGACGGCCTTCGGCCGCCTCAAATGCCCCCCCCCCCTAATTCGAGTGGGGAGTGCACGGGCCCGTGTGCCCCCCGCCCCCGCCCTTGTGAGCGCCCTTGCATTTAACTGACTGAGGAACTCATAGGCAACCATGCCTAGCCATGCATTCATGATATAGTAAATTCAATATTAACTGCACATAATCAGTGTTAATTCGAAACTTCGGAAAGACGATGGAAACTTCAACAACGTAATCAGCAGTCACCTCGGGCAAGGAAAACGAGAAAAGGAACGCAGTGAGGACGTCTATCTCTCCCGGTCATTCGCTCGCTTCTCACGCCGTTCCGATTGAGCGAGGAGCTTTGTCACGCTCCGGCGGCTGCGTCTCTCTTCGGTGGTGTCCCGGCCACCGTCCCGCGGTCCGGTCGGGCCAGGTCGCGGCCCTGTCCCGGTCACACCGCCGCCGCCGACGCGTCGTTTCACAACAGACGTCGCACCAGGCTGGTGTCAGTCGCGCCCGCCGTGTGACCGACCAGAGTTTATAGAACAACTGACCGACCACACCCCACCGACTGGCCGGCGGCGGGCCCCGGGCGGGGCCCCTGGACGGTGCAACCATTGACCACTGGCCACTCACCACTGACCAGTGGGCAGTGACCGGCCAGCCGCGGCACCTCACACGACCAACACCGCTCCAGTGGTCACTAAACGCGACTGCTGGTGGAACTTTCAATATGCTGCAATAAAGATACATTGATGATAAGGCTATCTTGTGAAATCGCCGATTTAGTTATCGTGTAAGAGGGCTGGCCAAACGTCCGTTTTCACGGCCGATGGCTTCCGGATAGTCAGAAATCGCGCCTTATATCGTTCACGGAAATGAAGGCGCAAGAAAAGTGCCTAAAACTTCTGCTTCACCTTACATAGCGATAGCTTGCATCATCCATACCGGGTTTCCGGCGCGAAACATCGACCTTGGGACGTTCAGAATGTTTGCAACGGAAGTTGCGTATTCCTATAAAGAAACAATACCTTTGTTCATTACATTTGTATGCAAAGGCGAATTAATCTATCGATGCTGGATCTCGTATTTCGGTGTCTACTAGGCATACCTACCAAAATATTTATACCTTGAGTCTTCGATTTTTTTCTGATCATTTTCGTTTTATTTTCAATATGGAGGCAACCCGAACGGTCGTGAGATTTAAGTTCTTTCGAGAAGAGATGTTTCGATCAAACAAAATGAAACATTAGGTTCGTTAATTGTGCAGATAGACCGATTTCTTTTTACTCGCTCAATCAACCTGACCAATAGGTTGAAACCCGACCTCTACACTGATTCAGTACTGGGAAAGACGGTGAAAAAAAAAACGATAATAAGACAAACGACATGGAACCGAAACCATTGCGCGATATCACCGCAATCAAAAGTGACTGTGGGGCACAGGTGCCCGTTCAGTTCCACTTCCCGAGTCCCTACACCGGCACCTCTCCCGGTACCCGCTCTCCGCCGGGGCGGCAGATCCTTTGTCTCAGTACCGGGCCGGGCCGGGCGCTCCAGCCTGCGTCAAGGTCAGGACGAACATCCTCCGTGGATCGCAGGCGACCGCCATCCCCAGCACACGCAGGCCCTCTCTGGATACGGGACCATCGGCTCAGACGAACGGTTTGGACCTGTGCCGTTATTAAACACGGAAGGGCCTCGGCTGATTTGGTGAGCGGCGTGACTGGATCACGGGAATCTAACAGGAACTAGGAAGCGAACGAATCAGATGTCACTGCAATACCCTCGAGCTGCTGGGAAGGATCTTTGAAAGAGCACCTGATCTTTATACTTTATTGGACGAACTAAATTGTCATGAGTTTGTAATGATTCCACACCGGCCATGCACCGTCACGTTTTAACGCATCACATGTTTGTTGTTTGTTGATTGGGGCTTTAGGGCGCGCCGACTGCTAAGGTCATTTTGCGCCCATAACGTCGTACTAATAAAACAAGTGTGCCACAAGAAAGAACCTTCTAGATACTAAGACTAGAAAGTAAGACTCGATATAAAATAGCAAGGTAAGATAAAACAGCGCAAAGGTGTCGTCCTAGACAACTGACTAGATGAAAGGACTAGAGAGGGCTAGTTGGATTGGGGTCAGGTCGAGTAAATCACTTGGAAGTTGATCGAACGGATAAAAGAAAAGATGTTGCCGGATAAAACCCAGGGTGACTCGTCACCCAGTAAGCGGCGGATAGTGGTACCCGGAGCGATGCGCCCGAGGTAGCGTGTCCGGTTCGGTTCAGCGAGAGGACAAGATAAAAGCACGTGAGAGACAGTGAGAGGCACGGTACACCTGCGACAGGTGGGCTGCTCTTCTCCGCGGAGGAGATGACCATGCGTGGCATACGTATGGCCGATGCGCAGCCTACATAAGACGACTTCGTTATGTCTGTTACTTTGCATGGATGACGACCAAGGCTCGAGAGTTGGCTTGATATCTCTCAGCTTACTGCTCGCGCGCGAGTCCCACTCTGCTTGCCACTGCGAGAGCATGGAAGATCGTACGACGGGATAGTAATCCCGGGCAGGCAGAGGAAATCGCGGAGTGTAGGGCGCTGCGGCAGCGCGTCTCGCGGCGGCGTCAGCAAGCTCGTTGCCTTGGATTCCAACATGACTGGGAATCCAGCAAAACCGGATAGTTTTTCCGGACTGTTCCACCGAAGTTAGCCGAGTTAAAATGTCCTGAATGATCGGGTCGTCAGGATTAAACCGTCGTAAAGCCATCAGACTGCTTAGTGAGTCTGATAAAATCAAATAGAAAAAACCGTCGGACACCTCAATAAAACACAGAGCCTTTTCGATGGCGACTAGCTCTGAGGAAAACACCGAGGCGCTGGGTGGAAGGGAAAACGAGCGGGTGTCCCGACCAGCGACAAAAGAGCAACCCGCTCCCTCGGATGTTTTTGAGCCGTCTGTGTAGACTGAAATAAAACCATCATACGAGGCTATATGCTCCAAGGCTCTGGTTTGTGCTTCATAGGACAGCAGGCTATCCTTTTTTACTTCGGAAAGCGAGAGGTCTACCTGCGGCGGGGCGTTTCTCCAGGGTGGAGAAGGCGTTCCCCAGAAACGCCGAACGCCGCGCAAGGCTATATTCGATGTAGAGAATAAACCTCTCATGCGTGCTCCGAATGGATGACTCGTCCCATTACCAGATGAAGCAATGTGACGCGAAAAGACGTACGGGTACGTCGGATGCGTCGG